TGACTAGGTGTTGAACTAGGAAAAAACAGATTAGGCATAGGTGTTTGATTTAAATGGAAGGAGCACAGTGTTTTTACAGAATTCCTCAGTGCTTGTGACTTTATATTCACTATTTCAAGACTCTTATCAATTGTGCAATGTTGCAATATTAATTTTTGGTGTCTACGACTTATGCAGGCTGACTCCCCAATTATTGGCCTTTTAGAGGCAGGGGAAGGTCGCATTGCAGTGTATGGTGATTCCAATTGTTTGGATAGTAGCCATATGGTTACCAATTGTTATTGGCTTCTAAGGAAAATATTAGATTTCACCAGTTCAAACATCAGAGATTCAGTACTTTTTTCTGACTCCAGTGAGCAACATACACCCTTGACTGAAGCTGACAACCAGTTACCATCTCGTAGAACTGATGTAAATTTCTCTACATATTCTGCCGTCCTGGGGAAGGATTTGATTTGTAGGAGTGACTCGAGATTTGAGGTTTGGGGAACAAAAGGATACAATTTACAGGTAAGGGGATGGAATAGAGTTTTGCCGGGCTATCCTGTTATGGATTTGGGGAGTGGTTTGAATTCCTTTATGGACACTTCAAAATCAAGGCGTCCGAAGTACACTGAGATAAGTAAGGGTGATTACTTGGGAAGCAAGTACTTGGGTATGTTCTACAAAGACGAGGTAAGAAACATAAATATAGTTCGGTGCATTCTTTTTTATTTTTCTATATTAAGTGAAGGTTCTCTAAAATTACAATGAACTGATAGCAGCTCCATTTTAAATTGTCAATATGCAGCTTGATATGCCTGTGCTCGTTGCTAGTCATTGGCTTGTACCCCTTGTAGTTGCAGTTACTGGTTAGTGAGCATTTATAAGTTTCTGATGTAGTTTCTCTCTTATGACTTGTGTATTATGTTTGATCTTTTGAATTTACTAATATGCTGGTTGGCAGGCCTTTTGGTGTTTTTGAGCTTCTGGAGAATCCGACAAAGACGACGGAGGAGGAGGAAAGGATCTGTCTCCAGTCGATTGGCCAATCTATTATAGCCAAGATAAATTTTTTATAGAGCCCCTTCCTGACGGTACACTGTCTGAAAGAAATCTCCTGTAGTATTGTTACATGTGTTTTTGAATTTTGTCTTTGGCATTATTACAGGAATTAGTTTTGTGTTCATAATATAGGTTTTGTTGTATTCATTTTGGTTCGGATGCTTGTAACAGCACAAATTTTACAGATTAATGATAGGATTTTTGAGATATTATATGGGGCCTTATTCTAATTCAAAATGAAAGCTTACATATCTTCCCTTCAGTGTTTAAGAATAAGTTGCATGGTAATGTTTACTAGTATTTTAAACATTTTCTTTAAGTAACACATTCAAAACCAGATCAAACTTGGTTAAAATCCACTATTCCTAAGAATTGAACAATTAGATCCCAGAGAATAAAAAGTTGAAAACAAGGGCAAGGAAGAAGTCCTCCCTGACTAAGCACTTGTATGATACATAAGACTTGAATAACATTTCTCCAGACTTACTAGGGCATGACGAATGGATCAGAAATGTCCATTGCTTAAGAGTTCCCCGATTTGAAGAAAGCCACCCATCAGACCATCTAACATTCACATCCTGAGGATCTCTGTTGCTGTCCACCCCCGACATCAATGGTGTCCGGAAGGTAACTTCATCATTAGAAAAACAGNTAAGCACTTCACTTGTATGATACATAAGACTTGAGTAACATTTCTCCAGACTTATTAGGGCATGACGAATGGATCAGAAATGTCCATTGCTTAAGAGTTCCCCGATTTGAAGAAAGCCACCCATCAGTCCATCTAACATTCACATCCCGAAGATCTCTGTTGCTGTCCACCCCCGACATCAATGGTGTCCGGAAGGTAACTTCATCATTAGAAAAACAGAACAATTAATAAAGCATATCCCAACAAATGAAAAACTTTAACGATAAGGAGGATTTAAACAGTATCTTTGATGAATAGTCCCATGTAATGCAAATGGCAATTTCTTTGAGTTCAGACCTAGCTACATTATCTTAAAGAATCCTAATTCTTTCTAGAAAATCTAGCAAAGATGAAGATTTGCTTTAATATATTTAAACAGGTATCTTTGATTAATGATGTAATGCAAATGCAATTTCTATAGTTCAGACCTTGCAGGTTATCCACTCTAATAATATCCCTCAAAACTTAATGGATCATAAAATTTGGTTAAATATTTACACTAAGAACAGGAAGGATGTAGACCAACTCAACTCAATCAACACTTATCCAACTAACAACAGGATGGCAAAGGGCATTATTTAGATGAGGACGAAAAATTAGCATTCAAGATAGAAGAGCTAAGCACAGACAGCAAGATCCATCAGCTATGAACTTTAGCAAATGAACAGATTTAAACTCAGATTTCAAAGATACATACATTTCTTCTTCAGGTTCATTTTTGAGAGCATTTTTAGCTATACACTGGAAAGCAGCTTCAACGTTGAAACCTTCTTTGGCAGAAGTTTCAAAATAAGGAATATTTCCCTTCGAAGCACACCATGCCTTTGCCTTCTTCTCAGATACCTGAATGTGCCCATGATGGCATGATACATTTACCAGTTTACGTTATCAAATTTTACATCACAGAAATGGACAAAACTAATCTTTAATGAAATCTGTGCTAAATCTTTCTTCTTACTAATTATACATAAAGCAGTATTATTCATGATTTGGGATGATAAAATATATTTCTGCACAGGAGTTTGAAGGAAGAGAAGTCATCTTACCACTCGACTATTGCCACCGTCAACATCTACCTTGTTCCCCAATACAACAAATGGGAAATTTTCAGGATCAGAAGGGCTAGCCTGTACATGAAATTGAATAAGGAAAACATTGAGTAAGCAAGCAATGGAACTTCGAAACTCCTCAAATGTCAACAGATTGATGATTACCTGAATCAGAAACTCCTCCCGCCAATTGTTGAGATTATCAAATGATTTCATGACATTCACATCATATACAAGAACACAACAGTCTGCACCACGGTAGAAAGCCACTCCAAGACTTTGAAATCTTTCCTGCCCAGCTGTATCCCAAATCTGAGAGTATGTAGTCAAAAAGGGTCAGTATCAAGTAGTGGATGATTCAAGCACATTACATTGCTGAGATACTAAAAGAATTTTTCCAGATAAATATACAGGTTCCTGTGCTTTGCTGAAGCTATGCCTGTCCTGTTCCTCAGTAATTTAAAAAAAAACATTATAGTCGACAGAGTAAAGGAAATAAAAATATAATCTTATTAACTTCCATTGAACATTCTACAGAAATTAAAGGATGGCATTACCAATGCATAGAGGGACTCTACTTAATGAAGCTTCCAAATGGTTACACAATTTTTCACTGGTTACACACAAAAAATTTCACTGTTTTGACAGAAATTTTTTGGTTGTTGTAGCTAGGTCATTAAAAGGAGAGGTTTAAAAATTTAATCAAAGTAATTGGACATTTACCAACAAAATACTGTTACTCATCTAACCATAATGTTAATAATACAAAGTTAATTCTAAGTAGTCATTTGATTAGTTTGTATATCAGCACAGAAAATTCAGGAAGAAACAACCATCTTCCTCACAACAAGAATTCCTATGTTTTATTAAATTTGCAGAATTATTACAAATCACATGGAATACAAATAGCAATCTACAATAGAGTAATCACTTGATTAGTTTGTATATCAGCACAGTAAACTCAGGAAGAAACAACCATGAAAGGCATGAGAAAAGCTACACAAACAGAATGATTAATGTAATTCAGGATTCAGCCTATGACCCCTATTGCAGGTTTATAATTTTTTGCACTTTAGAGGGATATTATTAGAGTAGCTAACCTGCAAGGTGAAAAGCCTATCCTCGAATTGGACTTCTTTTGTCAAGAAATCTGCCCCAATAGTTGCTTTGTACTGATTACTGAACTTGCGGTTCACATATCTAAGTGTTGAGTATTAAGGGTAATTACATCTCTAATTTACCATAATGTTAAAAACCAAACACACACATATATTAAAAATAAAATATAAATTGCAAGTTTTAGGATACTGATTCATCAAAGATGTCTTTCCAACCCTGTTAAAAATCAGCACAATAAAAAATTACCAATCAAACGTAAAAGTGAAAACAACAGGAAATTCGATTAAATAATAAATTAGGAAGGAAAAGCCCTTCTACAATATTTTTCTATTCTCAATTTTTTCTTCCTTTAGCCCACCAGCCAAACAGCTAAACTAACTCCAGAAATACAATGGAAATAAAACACTAATGCTATAATCGTCGGATCAAATGCAGTATCCAAATCAACTAATTGAATTCATTGAAAAACAATTAAAACTATGAATTACATTTTTTACTGCTAGACTCTGCTCGGACAGAACCAAATGAAATGAGTTCATCTAATTTAGGTTAATTTTGAATCATCTGACACCAAAAGCAAACGAAATTCCATTTTCTCGTAACCTAAAAAAAAAAAAAAAAAAAATCTAACCCGCTGTCACCAAGGATTATAACTTTGAGAAGCATGCGTCTACGAGTAGCCATTGGGATTCAAAAGCGAATGAATTATATGTTAAAATTAGTTTTGGAATTTGTAAGAGATGATAAACGAATATGAAGAGTTATTTTTGGTAAATCGAATATGCAAGTAAAAGATTCTCTTTTTTTGGATTATTATTTATGATTATATTTTTAATATTGAGCGACAAAAGGTGTAGTAATCATTAGTGGACTGGACATAACAACTACCGGTCTTGTACGGCCAGGTCAGAACCAATGAGCGAATTTGATGACCTGGCCATCGGGCGGGTTGGGCGGGTATGGTCTGGGTAGCAAGGGTCACGGGTTAACGGATGAAAAATTCTCACGGGTCGACATTTTCATGATCCGTATCCGCCGTACGGGCACGGTCACTCGTGAAAATGGAAGCAGCTTTTTACATTTTTCATATTTTTTACTGTTTTCCATATTAAACTTATTAGTTATTAACTTATATATTAAATAAATGGATGATTAAATAAATTTAATTAGATTTCACCAATATTGTTAATCAATATTAATATTTTTCATATATATCAAAGTCTACCATATAGATAATAGAATTAATAAACACTAAACATACATAGTAATTACTAATTAGTAAAACTAAACATACAAAATTGTTTAACATTCAACATACATAATATAGTAAACACTAATAATTAAACGATATAATTGTTTAACCAAAGTACCAACACACTAAACAAACAAAGCCTCCTTGATTATGAAATCTCCTTCCCCGCCCTTGACTTAATGGCACAACCAGCTGAACATCATCATTTCATCTTCTACAATTAACAAGATATAAGTTAATTATGTAATATATAACACAACAAAAATATTAAAACATGTGAAATATAAGTTAAAATGTTACCTTTAACTTCATATCCAGAAATCCATGTCTTGGTGCATTCAAAGACTCTGCTCTCCGGTAAAAGTGAACTTCGATATTTACTGAGCACTTTGCTACCAATACTGAAACGGATTCCGAAGCAACAGTCGTATTGGTATATATAACAATCACGGGCCATCATCGAAAGTATCAGGTATCGATCACTATTTTTCTTCCAATGGTCCAGGACATCCAAATTGCAAAATTTGATGCGATCAAATCTTGCCCTCCCAAATAAGTACAATCGGACTCTTAGTAGCACTAAAGTCACTCTTGTAGTAGTCAAATCTTGCACCATTTAAATAGTTAATTTAATAAAGCAAAATTACAAAATAAAGAAAACTTTATTAATCACAAGAATATAAAATATTTAAGGAGTATGAGTTACACAGATATATCTCCAAGATATGAGGATTACTAGCTTGTCCACAATCATCTCCAGTGGGAACCCATGGCCACTTGACTCTCATAAGCAGCAAAAAGCTATACAACTCATGTTGCACCAACTCCAACTTTCTTGTTGTAACTACTGGGCCATCAACTTTTTTGTAACAAAACTCAACAAACTCAAACTTGAAACGTGGGTCCAGAATTGCTGCAATTGCTAACACAACTGTATATGATCCCAATATTTGTCAAATTTTCCTTTCATTTGACTTGCCATGGTATAGAACTCATCCCATTTCCATCTTTCGTATAAACGCACTTGAATCTCCACACATTTCTGAGATACAAGTTGTTGGGGGTACTGGGAACCGAAAAAAGAGTAGTGATCTCATAAAATAGTTGCAAGAACTTGCAAATCCTCGCCCATCCCATTCTTCATTTGAAGGACAATTTTATAATTGGGATCTATCAGTGCCAAATGAACAAACACACAACGGTATATTAACGCATTTTCAAGCATTAAATAAGTGGAATTCCATCTCGTGGGAATATCCATTCGCAATCCTTTTGAGCTTATTACACTAATTGTTAACAAGTTCTCCAAACTTCATTCTTTTAGTCACTTCTTTAACATATTTCACACTTTCACGAATTTATGCAAAGTCACGCTACTCACCTTTAACCTCTGGACTATCAGATTCCAGATATGTGCACAACATCGCACATGAAAAAAAGAACCATCACATAATAAAACATTTTGCAGACAAAGTTGACTCCTTAAAATGTCTTCCATTTTATCATTGTTACTTGCATTGTCTAATGTAAGAGAGAAAACTTTCTTTTCAATCCCCAATCTTTTAAGAAATCCACTATGTCGACAAAAGAGCCCCCGAGTGTGGAGGAGGATATGGCTAAAACGAATTCTACCTTGTAACTCCCAGTTCTCATCAACATAGTGAGCCGTTAAAGAAATATACCCATCAGTAGTACAAGAACTCCAAATATCAGAAGTCAAGCATATTCTACACGAAACCCTCTCTAAAGCAAGCTTAATCCTTTCCTCTCCCTGTAATATATCTTTAAGCAATCCGCCTTAACGGCTTCTAGTATAATGCTTAACTTCATGATTCAAATACATGTGGACATCCCTAATCCTTCATGCTCCACTATTGAATATGGGTAATTATGTTTTATGATTCCTATTGCCATCTTCTCACGATAAATTCTTGAGAAATCTTCAAACGTCTAATTAGTCACAATCCATCATCATTTGATCTACACTAGTAGTAATGGTACGTTTAGGATAATTCCATATGGCGCCTCATATTCTTAGTCCCATGACTGGAACTACCATGTGCATAGACTTACCACAAATCATACACTTTACCCTCACTTCCCCATTATCTTCTGTATTTTGTAAATTGACCCCAAACATCTGAAACTTTACGTCTTTTTGGACAAACAGTACTACCAGTAGAAGGAAGTTGACCTACGGCTACATTACGACCATTCCTAAATCTGTAGAGTCCTCCATACCAAGCCAATCTAAAGGACACAACAAAGTATTTACATTTAAATTAATTAACCAATCATAATCCAAACAATTCGTCCAAAAAAAATAAAAACACTCCCATATATTTTACAAGCAAACCAGCCCTACCAAAGACGGATTTTTCCAACTCAACAATCAACACCCCTGACTCCAATAAGTATAACCAATCATAATTCATAACAATTCATCCAAAAAATTTAATAAAGAATTATGAATTCAAGTTGCCTTAATAGCATATAAGGTTATCAAATCAAATCATAATAATTAAAATTGATCACAAGTTTGACTATATGTTATAAGTGTGACATTTAATATAACAAAAATTTTGTATATTTATTCTGTATAACTTAACATGGATGTTGAGGAAAGTAAAAAATTAGAATCCTCAAAAAGCTCTGACAGAGCAAATTTTGAGTCTCGCCAAAGCCAAAACAATCTTATTAATTATTCGTAAATTCTTCCTAAGTTCCGACAAAGCAACATAAAGATGAATAAGTAAATAAACTAATTCAACATTATAAAAGCTATCTGTAAGCTCGAGGCTGATATTCTAGTGTTTCATGCTATAAAAAGAGGTTGACCAAAATTATCAGCCAATACAAGCATAAAAGATTCACTACTTATGCTCAACTTTATACCAAATCCATCACCAACTATTCTCTTAGAAGCCCCTCAACCTTGACTTAAGCGGAAAAAGGAATGGTGAAGTGAGGTTAGCTCTTACGGATAATATCTAGCTCAAAGTCAAAAGTTTACTAACTACACAGTAGAATAATAGGAATTTCAGAAACATAAGAGTTAAAACACCATGCGCACAAGCAAAGACCTTGAAATAAACAAAAAAAAAAAAGTTCAAACATATTTTTCCTATTTCCCAAAAACAAAGAAGTTTAAGTTAAAGGTCCTGCCCACCCAGTAAGAGTTACGAAAACAAATAGTCAACACAAAATGCTTAAGCAACCACATCCATAAGCTAACCATGGAAAAAAGAGAGACAATAGCAAAAAATTCTCTTGAATTAGAGACCACACTGACCTGATGCTGCCCTGATGGTGCTGCCCTGAGAGGAGACTATTGTGCCGGGCTGGTGCTGCCGTGAGAGGAGACTGGCTGCCGTGCTGGTGTTGCCGTCAGTGAGATTGCTGCTGCCGTGACTGCTGCTGTGCCATGACCTGCTGTCGCTGCCGTGACTGCTGCCGTGACTTGCTGCCGCTGCCATGACCTGCTGCTGCTGGCGCCTGCTGCTGCCGTGCTGGTGTTGCCGTGAGAGGAGACTGCTGCTGCCGTGTTGGACCTGCTGCCGTTGCCATGACCTGCTGCTACTGGCGTCTGCTGCTGCTGCCGTGAGAGGAGACTGCTGCTGCCGTGCTGGTGCTGCCGTGAGTGAGACTTGCTGCTGCCGTGACCTGCTGCTGTCGTTAGAGAAGTCAAAGAATGAGGGAGAGTGGAGCTGCTGTGAGAGTGAGAGAGTGAGGGAGTGGAGCTGCTGTGAGAGGACTGGAGTAGTGGAGGCTGTGGAGGTGCTATGGAAGAGAATGGCTGTTGCGTTTTTTTTTTTTTTTTTCTCTGATAAGTTTTGCTATTTTGGTTTATATTAGGGTTTGAGTTGAGACTTGAGAGTGAGACTGTGAGAGGACGAGACGAGTCATTCATAAGTTTTATTTATTTTTTTTTAAATTTTGAATTTGCGGGTCCGCGGGTACCCGCGGGTAGTACTTGGTCCACCCGTAAAAGTCACGGGCGGGCCGGGTACGGGTTAATTTTTCACGGGTCGAAATATGTATTATCCGTACCCGTCTGTTGGGTACGGGTACCCGTTGACCCGCGGGTACACCCGCCCGTTTGCCAATGAGCAAATTTGAGGACGGCTCTTTGCTCTCTCCAGAAACGCCACCATTTTTTTACTATAATAACAATAATACCCTTGATGAGGTGTATTTGCTAAGTCAGGACAGGACAGGAGTTTGTTACACGCATAAAGCTAAGGTTCAGTGGAATGTTGGAGTTGATGTAAGGAAGTTCAACTGTTACATCCATTCCAGATGTTATAAAAGAAAATTCCAAGTTTTTGGTGGAGTTGATGGCAACTTTAGTGGTAATCAATCCTTTTATTTACACAGATTAAATTATGACATAATTTCAGAAAAACAATAGGTTAATCATTTTAATTAGTCTTCTAAGTTTATTTTATGATACAGTAGTTGATGCACATTAAAAATGAATTTACATTAAACAAAATCTCAATTATTGTTACGATCGGGCAATTTTGAAAACCTGCCGCCGTTTCACTTCTAAATAAGGCAATTTTGACTTGGTCGATAAAGAGGAAACGACAAAGGGTGGGGACTGGAGTGGCGTTCAAATTTGAAAAGAACAATGTAAGTGGAGGAGAACGTGGGAGGCCAGCTATATGCCCCAGTCTAAAGCTAAATCAACATTCAAACCAGACACCGACGACAGAAGCATGCAAGAAATCCAGGACCACGTGCACTAAAGACTAAACCATCAAGGACAAACGCCAAAATCAACTCAAAGTGGGCTGGCATCCCATAAACACTCTCAACACATTTCAATTTCAACTACCAAATTGATTTAAACATTGAACAAACAAATCAAAGAATCGACAAACTCTGTCCCTTGTGTTCTTTTTATATAATAATAATAATCACTAATAAATACAGGTAAGTATTAAAAACAAATCAAAATTAGACTCAAGAGAGAAAAAAAGAATATTGTGCATGCAGAACAGCATTCTTGCAATTAAAAAAAAGGGGGCCTGTGACTTTACAGAAAAAAAAAATTGGAACATCGGTTGTTAAGAGCTTCCAGTGAAACCTTGACTGTTTTTCTTCATCCTTCCCATCTCCATTTCTCGCGTGTTTTCACCGCTTGAGCCAGAAGGGTATAATCCATATTCACTTGTAGGTGCACTGTACTCACTACTTGCTCCATACTCCTGGCTGTTCAATGCCATCTTCCTGAATTTTTTCAAGTCTTCATTGTATTGCATCGTATCATAGTCTGAACTTCCGTAAGAACTGTAAATATTGCTGTGTCCAGGTCTAATTCCTTCATTAAGATCAGATAGAGACACATCTCCTTCCAAAGCACGGACTATCTGCTAGGTTAAAATTAACTGTGATTAGAATTCCATTCAAAAATAGTACCTATAATTAACAGCTTTAAGCATCTTGCTTATTATCATATCAAGACGATAATTGAGCAAATTATTTGAGAACTTCTCAGTAAATGTTTCCCAGTCACAATCATCTGATTATACCACTTTTTCAAGCCACATGAAACTAGCAGACATCACATTAGGAAATTGGATCTCAATATGCATGAGGGCTCAAGCACATGAAATCAGTCAATTAAACTGGCAATTGATAAATCATTTTTTTGTCCATTACCTGGCTCGTTCTTGGCCGGCGACGTGCTGAATGACGCACACAAGCGGCTGCACAAGCAACCATCCTAGCCATCTCGTTGTGGTCATAATCATTTTGCAGCCTTGGATCAGCCAGACTGTCAAAGTTTCCATCTTCCAGAGCTCGGTTAAGCACAGGCCTTGCCTGTAATCCCAACAAAGATTTAGTTGATGTGACATCCCAAAGTTTAGAACCATAACTCTTTTGTTGCAGCCCATCACCAAACAGAGGGAATATTCAAGAAAACAAAATCAAATAGTAAAGTTTTTATGAATATAATTCATTTGCATGGATGGAAAAAGTTAATACCCACCCAGTCAACCAAACTATCTTCCATGTAAGAATGGCTTGAGTCAACAGGTCGGCGTCCAGTAATCAATTCCAAAAGCATGACCCCAAAGGAGAAAATATCTGATTTCTCTGTGAGTTTTCCACTTGAAGCATACTCTGGAGCCAAGTAACTGTAGGCAGCAAACATATAAGCACATTAACAATTAACTAATTTAAGTCCTGATTCCTGAATAAGCATATAAAACTCACAGATAGACACTTAACAGACACCTCTATAGAAAAGTAAACCAAAATGGTAGATCTGACCATTAGCAAGAGAACAGACTGACTAGGTTAATGTACATCATGAAAGCACAGGATTAAAAATGACAGCATCATAGAAGACCAACTACACTAAGACATATCACCATGAAGTGATGCAGCTTACTTTCCATTTCAACGTAAATTGCATCCAAACAAAGTACAAATACGAGGAATAAGTGCACTGAGTTAAAGAACTTACCCAAATGTACCCATTACTCTTGTGGAGACATGTGTATTGAGATCAGAAGAGAATTTTGCCAGTCCAAAATCTGCCACCTGAGAAAAAGGTTTCAGTCAATGATGATAGAACCACATACTTGGATATTGTTAAACAATCCAAAAAAATAAGAAAAAGAGGAGGCTAGGGTTTCATTGATACTGCACAATGCAATCGAATACAAAAGAATGATTTAACCTAAATACAAAGAGACTATATATAGGCTAAACAAAGGAAGGGAAATAATGAAAAGACTATTCTACCCTTAATAAACATAAAACAAAATAACCCTATATTTCTTAACAGATATCTATTTAAAAAACACTTCAAAAAATACCAGTTTTTCTAGTAGCATATAAATTAAGGTTGGACTTGTGTCTGTGCTGATTCAGATTTTGCAATCTCAAAAAATTAAATTGTGCAATCAAGTACCTTTGCCTCAAACTTGAAATCCAGAAGTATGTTAGCTGCCTTAATATCACGATGAATAATCTTAGGATGACCTGCAAATATGGGTAGATATTATTAGAGTGTAAATCTAAATCAAGTCAACCATCACAATATCATTTGATTAGGTGTACAAAGATTGAGAGAGGTCTTACAATCTTCATGAAGATATGCCAATCCTTTGGCAGAACCTAAAGAAATTTTCAGTCTGGTGGGCCAATCCATGGTCGGTCGCCCCTTTCCTGCAAAACTTTCTATCAGATCCTTGTTACCAGAAATTTTTATATTGGTTAATAGTATCGTGTTAAATAAGCATCCAGAAACCATTAACTTAGAGCATTTGGTGCCTTGAGCATGACAAAGACCAAAACAGTGGTCACAAGAGGATGGAACAAAATACAATTTAAAAGCAGCAAAATTAGTCAGAACTAGTAACTAAATTAGTAACAAATCATTTACCAGACAATAGAAAGAACTTGACACAATAGTTCACACAAACAGTTAATCCAAACTTACCATGTAAGTGAAACTCCAAAGTGTTATTTGGAACAAACTCATAAACAAGCATTCTTTGTGACCCAGCCATACAGTAGCCAACCAAGGAAACAAGATGTTTGTGATGTACTCGGCTGATAATTTCAACTTCTGCCTGAAATTCACGTTCTCCCTGCCCACTTCCAGCTTTCAGTTGCTTGATTGCCACTTCTTTTCCATTAGGTAAGACTCCTTTGTGTACATACCCAAAACCACCTTGTCCAAGGAGGTTGGCATCTGAGAAGCCATCAGTTGCCCTTGATAATTCCTCATATGTAAATGTGCTCTTTGAGAAACCTAAAGAAATGCCTGGTGAAGGTGGTGGGAGTGAATTGTCAGGCCCTGAGTAATTGGAGCCAGAGCCTCCACTACTGCTCATGAAAGGTGGTGGTGGCGGCGGCTGAGGAGAAGGAGAATGAACTGGTGAGTGTGGTGGACGTGATGCAACTGGAGGTGGAGGAGAGGGTTTTGGCATCGTTGTGACAACATGAGCAGCAGGCGGAGGGACATTATGCTGCCACTGATGCTGCTGGCCACCATAAGGGTCAACTGGCAATTATCAAAAGAAAAAACACTAAAAATATTATATATACCACTCAGAGTAGATAATTTAGGTAAGGAACTCTAAAACATTGAAGTCAGGAAATCATGTACACAGAATCTCTAAACTTCTTCAGAGTTCATCAAAGCAACTGGATAAATGATTATAACTTCTTCATAGTATTTGATTTAGTGTATATCTACGCACAAAAGATACTGAATCAAAATCAGTAAGTTATAATTTTAGAGTGATGTCCAAATGCCTTGTAATCTCATGAAAAACTACATGGTCAACTCGAAGAAAAAATAATTATTAGGGGCCCTCAATGGAGGAAAATAGTTAAATGTCTCAATAAATGCAACAAACTGAAAGAGGAATTAGAGAAATGCAGCGGAGAACGATGATTAGCTGATAGTTTAAAATTTATTTGTTTCCACTAACTAATTGAAGGTGGTAAATTTCTTAACAAGAATCACGGGATGTCTTAGAAGAAATAACCCCATAAAAAGCAAGATTGCCTCCATTCCAACCCTTAGACACTGCAGGCACATGCAGCTTCAATCACCAATTTCTATAAAACTAAATTTAAAAGAAACAAATAAAAGTCAAAGGTATGACCGTTTCAGAGATCTATGCATCGAGACAATCAAAAACGATTTTTTTAAAAGAAAAAATAACAATTAAAATTCAGAAATCAAAATAAGACAATGACGACTCAGAACTCCAAAATTCTTAACCAGAAATGAACATCACGGTAAACAAATGTTTTAAATCAATTAAAACTTGAAGCCATTTGAAGGAATTAATGAAAAATATAAACAAAAACTATGTAATTGAAATGACAGGAACCAAAGCACAAACACGAACCTTTAGGGCCAGGAGGTGGTGGAGGCATATAGTAACCAGCCTCATCATCTCTCCTCTTCTTCCTCTTACAACAACAAAGAAACAACAAGCTGACCACCACAAGTATAGCCAGTCCTCCTATCGCTAACCCCACCACTAACCCAGTACTTATCCCACCACCACCACTAGAAGACGACGAACTAGGTGGAGGCGGTGGACTGCGAGCAGTCGGCGGCGGCGGTGTCCCCGAACTTCTTGGAGGCGGGGGTGAGTTTCCACCCGAAGGATTTGACGGTGGAGGAGGAGATGGAGTAGTAGAGGATGGAGGCGGGGGGGTAGAGGAGGGTGGTGTTGGAGGTGAGGAGGCGGCGGGTGGAGTAGCGGCTGGAGTGGTTGGTGGTGGTGGAGATGCGGGAGTGGTGGGTGGGGGTGCAGCTGGAGTGGCAGGTGGTGGCGTAGCTGGAGTGGCTGGAGGAGGAGATGCAGGAGTGGCAGGTGGTGGAGCGGCGGGAGTAGTTGGTGGCGGGGATGTAGTGTTGGTTGAGGGTGGAGAGGTGGGCGCCGGTGTTACAGGGGCGGACCCCGGCGGCGGTGACGACGACATTGGTGGTGATGTAGACGATCTCTCTCAAAATTAAAAGTTTAACTTTTAATTAGAGAGAGAGAGAGAAGAGTTATGGAGTTTGGTTAGTTGGAAGGGATTGTGTTTGGTGTTAGTTTTAGGACAAATGAAACCTATTTCACATGGGAGAGAGAAAAGAGATTGAGGAATTATCGTCTGCTCTGCTTCTGCCTCTGCTTGTTGGAATGTCCAGTCGCCAGTAAGACAAAGTGCTCCAGTGGGACCCACACGATTGGCCCGCGTTTTTCGCAAATATTTACTCCCTTTTTTGGATATTTAATCAAATATAATATTTTTCTATTTAAATTTTAATTGGAAATAAATGAGAGGACCCGACCCGACCCGATGTCTAATCTTCTAAGGTAGAGATAGTGGTTGATTTATTGTGAGGAAAGAAGATCCATCAATATCAATGAGAATCTAAGTCTTTACCAACTTTACCCCATCCATTACGGCATGTGGAAACAAGTTTGTGATTTTAACATTACTGGATTCTTTTGTGATAAACGTGTTAAAACAAGTTTGTTGAATACAGTTCGTTACACACGCTGGTCAAATATTTATAAAATGAAAAAAAAAAAAAAAAAAAAAAAAAAAGGTACAACTGTATAGATTCCAAGTAAAGGTTGATTGTATATTAATATGTATATGTAATTTAAAAGGTTAATTAGCAGATTAGTCAAAAGATTGGGTGGAGTTTAGTTGCAGTGTATGTTACTCTTAAGTAAAAGGCAAACCAGCTGGATGTATTGACGTCTTTCCTAATTATTGTTTTAAAAAATCCCAACTTGATATAATATTTTTTAAATAAAAGGAAATTTTAATACGATAATAGTTTGTTTCAACATTTTCGATTGGGCACCGAAACGGTTAGGTTGGTCCACGTATTCTAAGCTGTTACATTCTGTAATGAATGATTTATTATTAATATTTAAAAAAAATAAATTGCAGAAATGTTATTAGCAAGAATAATTGTTATTGCCAGAATTATTAATTTAGAATTGGGGCACACCTGTTCTGATTCATACCAAATGAGATTAGTGTAATTAGTGAATAAGTAGATTCGAAAAAGTATGGAGAAGATGAGACTTTTCCTTTTTGGAGTGCCGGCAAAAAGGATGGTATAGAATTAGCAGGCTTCTGTTGAACATAAACATAAATTTACATTTGACTTGGACAATATCAACCATACGGTTAATGCTTTGTGATTATTTTTTTAAACATGTTTAGTTATACAAAAACCCAATAACTTTTAACATTTTCTTTTGTTAAACACAAAAAACAGTAATTACAGCTAGACCTGGCAAATGGGCGGGTACGGGTAGGGAATACTTGTTACGAGTAAAATGGGCACGAGTCCGCGAGTCAAATTTTTCTACGAGTCGATATATGCATGACCCGTACCCGCTCGTGCGAGTATAGGTCGACCCGCGGGTTACCCGCATATAATGCTCACAATGCATCAAAACTCAATACTCTCAATGCAAATAATGGTAGTTAAGTGTATTGTCTTGTTTGCCCAAAACGTTTGCTAACTTGGTAAAAGCATTTACCTTTGAGAGTGATTGTTGCTGCTGAGAGTTAGGTGACGTCGTAGTGAGAGAGAATGAGAGTGAGAGGAGAGCAAAAGTTGTTTCGTCGTCGGCCTAGGTTTGGGAGTTGCCGTTCATCGGCGTGACAGGGTGAGAGAGTTCAGACTGAGCTGAGAGTTGCGTCAGAGCAGAATGAGAGTGAGAGGAGAGTTGCAGCAGCTACTTTTTCGTCGGGATGGCCCATGTTTGGGAGCTACCGCTTGTCGGTGTGAGTGAGCACGAGAGAGTTGAGACTGAGCTGAGAGTCGCGTCGGAGTAGAATGACAATGAGAGGAGAACTGCAGCTGTTGTTATTTCGACGGAGGCGGCCTGGGTTTGGGAGTTGCCGTTCGTCGGCATGAGCAGGGGCAAATCCAGCCACTTTTGGCCCACCCTCAAATTTTTTTTTTTAAAATATTAATATGTATAATTTATATATTTTAGCCCACCCTAACAAAAATATTAATGGACAAAAATAGTAATGTATAATTAATTTTTATTTTGGCCCACCCTAAAAGAAATTATTGGATCCGCTATTGGGCATGAGTGAGTGTGAGAGAGTTGAGACTGAGCTACGAGTCGTGTCGGAGCAGAATGACAGTGAGAGGAGAGCTGCAGCTACTGTTGTTTTATCGACGATGGCCTGGGTTTGGGAGCTGTCGTTCGTCGGCGAGAGTGAGCTGTAACCGTGGCTGCGTGAGTGAGCTGTGAGTAGTGTGCTTCGTGAGAGAGTTAAGTGTGTAGTCTGATTAAGTTACGTTTAGACTTTAGGGTTTGTTAATAAATTGTATTTTAAATTTTTTTTTTTTTTTTTTAAATTCAATTACGAGTACCCGCGAGTATTACCTAACCCACCCACAAATTTCACGGGTGGATCAGATAGCTTTGAAACGGATATTTTAGAACGAAGTGATACCCATTTATCCGCGAGTGTGAGCACCCTTTTGCCAGGTCTAATTACAACCTTTTCTCTGTTCAAAAAATAATAATATATTTTACATTTAAAAAGTACATTGAATGACTTTTTCATTTCAAAAAAATTAGATATTTTTTAATATTTATGTAATCAAAATAATTAGTTTGTGGGGTGTAAAATGACGACAGTATCTGAAAAGTGAGAATTGTGGTTGACAGCAAATAAAAATAGAAGAAATGAATAGGCCGAACGACACACCCAAGGTTTGGCTAAACGACAAGTTGATACATAAAAAGTTTTAAAATAACAAATAGGTACCTTTTATCATTTTCTGTTAGTGATTTTCATTTGATAATAGTAAAAAGACTAAAATACCCTTGAAAGTTCAATATTTTAGTTTTTTATAAATTTTAAAATTTCTAAAAAACCCCCTAAGTTTGCTAATTTAACTAAATACCCTAATATATAAAATTTTTATAAAATAACAAAAACACCCCTACCACAGCAGTGTTAGATTCCGACCACCACCGTCGGAATATGGCCGAAAAATTATGTTATGACACAGACCCGTTGGATCTGTGTCGTAACATATTTGGCCAGAAAAGGCCAGATCTACTTCTGGCCTTTTTCGGCCTCGACGGCCAAATCTGGCCTAGATCTGACCTAAAAATGCCAGATCGACGTGTTACGATATAGATCCGACGGGTCTGTGTCATAACACGATTTTCTGGCCAAATTCCAGTCTCGACGGCCAGATCAGCTACGGATCTTGCCAGAAAATGCCAGATCTACGCGTTACGACACAGATCCGATGAGTCTGTGTCGTAACGCAATTTTTCGACCAGATTTTGGCGGTGGTGGCTGGAATCTGGCACTGCGATGGCAAGGGTGTTTTTGTTATTTTATAAATTTTTTATATATTAGGGTATTTAGTCAAATTAGCAAACCTAGGGGGTTTTTTAGAAAATTTTAAATTTATAAAAAACTAAAATATTAAACTTTCAAGGGCATTTTAGTCTTTTTACTATTATCAAACGAAAATCATTAACAGAATCTGACGGAAAGTACCTATTTATTGTTTCAAAACCTTTTAGATACCAACTTATCGTTTTGACAAACCTTAGGTATGCATAAATCATTCTGCCGACATGAATAATGTGAACGTGGGTAGCGTTATTCTTAGTTTCAGAAAGAAAGGGTCCATCCATCACCAGTAATGAGATGGTCACATGCCTTCTTCCATTCTCATAATATTAATCACTGCCATGACATTCGCCTGTCTTGTCTTTACCGAAATTTCATCTCATCTCAACCCTCCAATTATTAAATTACCAAATCAACCCATCCGCTCTTTCGTCATCCGCCTATAATTCTCTTTTTACTTAATAAATATAATCATCTACATATATCTTTTCCTTTATTTTAGAACTAATTAGTAAGACCTATAATTTTATAAACTCCAATATAACAGACAAAAAAAACAAGGTCTAAGCCGTCCATTATATGTTTTATAATAAATTAGCCATGAACTCCTCACTAATATAAATAAAAAATGTATTGAAATCTGGACTAGTCTTATATGGTGAAAGTATTATAATTTTTAGTAATTATAAATCTTTTTCACATTATATTCAGATTCCATAAACGTTATTCTGATTTCTGACCACGTGCATTCATTGACGCCACTTGGCTCCCCCCATTTTTCAAGGCTCAATATCGCAGTCACTACGCCGGGGTGCACAAAATCATCTCACTGCGCTTCAACACAAAAAAAATTAAGTGATTGGGCCATGGGCCTTGAGCCATGTGATATTGGATTGGCAGCCCATATGGAGATGGCTAGTTGCAGTAAAGTTTGTCCAAGATGGAATGACTAAAATTGATTTCATTACTATTTCATCAGGCAATTACATGTTACAAGCATTGGAGTAAAGATTCTTGACTAACTAGAGTAGTGTTCTGGTTTGTATAATCACCTAAAGCAGCGCCTCACCTGAAGTAAGACATTAGGCACTGCATACTTACAATTGGTGTTTTAAGTCTCTAGACCTAAACTTGGAGGTGAAAACACAAATCACCAGCCACTAAAAGCAGTGCTTTGATGTATTGTGAAGGGCATGGGTAGACTTTCAGTGCCTGGGATGTGCTGCTGTGCTTGAGAGAATTATGAAGGCACAACAACAGAAAGAGAGAACACTGATACCCAAGTGGTCTCTGTGTACTCTCCATTGCATCGGTGAATGCAAACTGAGTTCTCTCTCAGCCCAGTTCCGAATCTATCTCTTCAGCAGCTATAATGCCCTCCCCTGGAAAAAAAAGAAAAGAACAGATTGGCTCCTTAGAAGATCTTTTACTACAGGACATAACGAAATTTAATATTTCTGTTTAACTTGATTTCCACATCCATCATTGTCATTCCTCTTAAAAAGGAGGCAAATCCTTAGAGAAAAAAATATGATTTCCCCTACAAATTTGTGTCAAGGATCGAATTATTAATTCATATACGCGTGACAGTTAAGCAGTCAATGCAGCTTGAATGTATAAGCCAGTGTGTCCATGAAGTTGAGATCCCAGCAAATCTCTTTGACAATGCCAGATAGATTCATCACTGAAATATGATCTGTTTTAGTCCTACAGCATCATATGATGTATTT